TCCTTCCTTGTTTCCGTGGTTCGTTCGTTCGTTCATTCGCAGAACTTGCAAAACCTCTGAGTCGTGCGTTCCTCCCTACCCTACCAAGGCTTTAAAGATAGTATGTAGTCAGACTTTGTTTGACATCCGGCTTCATGGGTAGGATCCCGTAAGGTGCAATTAGAGCAACAAAAAGAAAGGGACGATTCTAATGAAATGCAGAATACATGGGCCTGAACAACTTGAAGCATTACTCTTCAGGTTCCGTATCCAAAATAACATGTACCTTGCTGACTGAAGCTACTTGGCGTTTGATCCGTCCAGTCCTTCTACGATTTAGTAATTTAGTAGTCAGACTAAACCCTAAACCCTAAACCACAATCACTTTGATAGGGTTTTGGGATTTAGGGTCTAGGGTTTAGGGTTAGGGTTATTAGTACTCAGACCATCAGATCTGCGGCTTCAGGTTTAGGGCCAAGGGTGCTGAGCCTAGCATCCCGGCAGCCTGGAGGTTTCGGCGTGGGAATCAAGGCCTGTGGGATGCTTGGCCCTGTCATATAGGGTCTAGGGTTGAAGGATTAGGGATAGGTTTGTTCTTCTGAAGTCTAGGGGGTACCCCATCTAAGCAACAAATGGACACCCTAAAGCCTTAACCTTAAGAGCCCTATCTAAGCAACCTATATGCATGCAAACGATGCAGCTTGAAGCATGGTGCTTTTCGTAACTCCCCAACTCAGCGAACAAGCGTAGAAAGGAGGACAGGTATGACAAGAGACAGGAGCCGGAAGCAGGATAGGTACATGACCCAGAGGCTCCACTATCCCTTATTGAAGGAATACATATACCTTAAATTATGGTACGATCTCTAACATGACAAGGATTTCAGGTATATTCCCTACTTCAGGGATATTGGAGGTTCTGGGAAACCGCACCTCAGAGCTCCCCGTCTTTACGCTGAGGGTTCAGGGTTGGGGTATAAGTTTCAGAGTTCCGGGTTTAGGCTTCAGGGTCCAGGTTGTAGGGTTCAGGGGTTTAGGGTAGCCTGAAAGGAACGCTTATTCAAGCCCTTATAAGTTGCAACGACACCCCGAGGGATTCCGCCGCCTGGCGCGCTGGCTTGGGCCTGCTCCAGAGCTTCGAAGAGCTGGGCCTCGAGAGCCAGGCTTGGCTTTTTGGGGTTTAGGGCTTATAGGGAATAGGGTTTAGGGTTTAGGGTTTAGGGGTTTAGGGTTTAGGGCTTATAGGGAATAATAGGGTTTGGGGCTTTGGGTATATGGGCTTCAGGGTCTAGGGTTTAGGCTTGGCTTTGTTTTTCGGATGATACGCAAAAGCGGGTTCAGGGTTTAGTTATAGGGTGTATAGGGCTTAGATACGCAATACAGGGTTCAGGGGTTTAGGGCTTAGAGGGTGTAGAGGTTTGGGGTTTGGGGTTTAGGGATATTTAGGGTATAATCAGGGTTTATAGAAGGTTCAGGGCTTATAGGGTTTAGGGCCTATAGGGAATAGGGTTTGGGGCTTCGGGGTTTAGGGTATATAGGCTTTAGGGTCTAGGATGCACGGTTTAATCAGGGTTACTGTGTAGACGTACATGCCTAATCTGTACACACATATACATATCATATCATATATATATATATATACATATATATATATATATATATATACACATGTTTATAACTATACATGCATTTACAATAGTGCATGCATGCATGTACATGTGTGTGTGTGTATGTATGTATGCATGCATGTTTGTATGTATGTATGTATGCATGTATGTTTGTTTGTTGTTCGTATTTATGTATGTCTGTATGTATGTATGCGTGTGTGTGTGTGTGGGTGTGTGTGTAAACATGCTATGGCATACGTCTATGCACACACGTACATACCTAAATCTATATGCATGCATGCATGCATGCATGCATGCATGTATGCATGTATGTATGTATGTATGTATGTGCATATGTATGTATGTATGTACATATGTATGTATGTGTCTGTGTATGTGTAAGAGTAAAGAGTGTGAGTGTGAGAGTACGAGTATGAGTTTGAGTATGAGTATGTATGTGTGCGTATGTACACATACCTTTGTCTGGCGATCTGTTTGTTCAATGTGCGGCTCTGACCCCTCAACCCGAAACCTTAAACCCCTCAACCCCAGCCTGTTTGCTGTTGCGGATGTTGCAGACCCTCCACCTCCAGGCCTCTGAGCTTCACATTAGCAAGGATTTCAGGTAATCAGATCGTATAGTTACCGCTGGATCCCCATGGATCCTTTATAGCAACCTTCGAGGAGGTCTATGCTAATTTTTATGGCCACTAAAGTAGGGTCTCATTCGGGATCGACATGCCATTCTTCCGTATAGGACCGCTGTTTCTGTCCTTCGTGACGGGGTTTAGATTTAGGGATTAGGGTTTTGTCTTGAAACAAGGAGGCAAGTCATGAAGACTTTGCTGGGCAGGCGGCGGCCTTCAATGCCGCCCTGAGCTCCTGCGAGAGTCTTGGTCCCGAAACCCCACACCCCTAAACCCTAAACCTCAAAACCCTAAACCCCTAAACTCTGAACCCCTGAACCCTAAACCCCAAAACCCTAAACCGCTTTCTCTTTGCCCTGAGGCCTGAGGCTCTGAAGGGATTGGCAAGGGCAACATAGGTCAAGTACGTAGGCTGTTCGTTCAGGCTAACTATTAGCTAGGACCCTTATTTCCTTTTTTGAGGGTTCAGGTTCCCTTTTAAGCCCCTTTAAACCAAAAAGGGCACCCTTTTTATTCCTAGGTTACTCTTGGGTCTAGTGAGAGGACTCGACCCGGATATCGGTCTGGTTAGAGGTTGGGCTGGCTGGTAGATGTCAAGAGTAATTCTTATGGGGAACTCCAGAAAGTTGGAATATGGTTTCAGGGTAGGATACCTTATAAGTTTACCATAGAAGGGTTTAGGATAATCATATTCCAACTTTCTGGCTTTTACTTTATGAGGAAGCGAAGAAGGTTCTTTGAAGGACAGGCTCACTATATAGCCTAAATCGTCATACAGCGTGTTTGACTCCACAATCCCGAAGGCCCAAAAGCCAATGCCACTTGAGTTGGGCCTGAGGGAGGCAGTGCCGACGCAGGAGACGAGGGGGCCCATGTCAAGTATAATTTAAAAGAAACCCAATACCCACAGCTCTTAACTCACAACCCCCTAAACCCTAAACCCAATACCCACAACCCTTAGATCACAACCCCACAACTCTGAAGCCTAAGCTTTAACTTGAGAGCAGACATCGTCTGCAACTGGCTCCCCCAACATCCGAACGCCCAGGCCAAGGCTAAATGCAGGGCACGAAAGTCAGGGTTTGGGTGGTTTTGTGAACATCAAAACTCCCAGCCTAAACACAGAGCTAAGTAAACAAGAAGAAGCCAAGGAAGGCCCTGCAGTGGAAAGTTACCATCCAGCTGCTGTCGGGATTCGAAGACAGGCGTTGGAAAACGGATGTGACTTGTTGCCATTCCGATTCCTTGTTTTCTATGCCGACTGATGTTATTGCTGTTTTTCGGCAGCCGTGCAGTATTATGGATGGTACTCAGGGACATCTAGATTAGGAGTTGATGGGCTATGGTGCTTTTGAAGCAGGATCTTTACGGTTTTTGCTTGAAGGCTTGTGAGGAATCGCGGGCACCGCTAGAAGCAGTCCTCTTGTCATTCCCGGACGATTAGGGCCAGAGGTGCTGTGCGTAAAACCGTACTTGCAAACGCCCATGTGCGAAACATGGTTTTATCTAAGGCTGCTGCCAGATAACCCGCAGCTACCAGGCTACCACGTAGGAATTCGGTGGCTTTCGGCACGGAACAGTGTTGGACAGGTCCAAGGGATCTCAGCTACCGTATCTGAGGTGATCACGCAGAGTGCTGCTATCACTGCCTGCGCTGTGGTCGGGGAGTGGCCGCGCTCTTTGCACTTGCTGCCTGGTGCGTCAGCTCTGCGGTAAACGTGGTATATAATAGAGCAACAGCAAGAGAAGAAGTAATTACTTTGCTTTGAGGTTCGTGTTCCGTGGTTTGGGGCCAGAGTCCATACGGTCCACCACAACTTCCACCGGCACCCACCACCCACTGCCACAGCCCAGCCACCGCCACCACCAGCACCACCGACGCCGACTGACGACCGACACCACAACTACCAAAGCCGAGGCGACTGCTGCTGCGACTAGGAATCCTATGTTTTCCATCAGCGCCACCATCATCATGTATCACCGTCATTATCGTCTTCGTCATCTTCATCATCCGCAATGACCATCATCGCCGTCGTCGGCAAAGATGTTATCATAGTTGCGGGCCCTGCGGGCTCCCAGGTTTCACAAGCTCCGCGCCGCAGACACTATTGCCCTCAATGCCGCACTCGCCGCCTGTGAGCAGGGGGGAGAATGGCAGGCAGGTTTCGGGTGTCAGAGCTGTGAACTGGGCGAGGAGTTGGTGCTTAGGGTCTGGGCGTGAGGGCTCAAGATGTCGTGTTCAAGCAACTGAGCGGCCTACTAACACAAATACAAAACCTCTTGTTGAGCTACGATATCGGCTACAGTCTCTAGCCTCAAAATCCTCTGCAGGAGCGTTGTAGTAGCCCATATAGAAACTCTTTACAAAATGGCCCACATATATAGCAGCCCGCCATTACAGCAACCCGGCAGCCTGAATAATGACTTCCTCATTGCTCAGTGTTGCAACTCTAACTATACTTTAATCAACCCCGAAACCGCAAACCCTTCGTCCTGAACTGCCGAAGTGTTACTCCAGATATTAAGCCCCCCTGTTGCATATGGGAGTTTACGAAACTAGGGGACCCTAATACTAGTACCCTAAATAGTACGATCCTTATTATAAGGATCCCCCAAAAAAGGTACCCCTAATTTTCCTTAACCCTTTATAGAACCCTTATAGATCCCTTTAAAGGAACCCTTATGGATCGTTTCAAAAAGAACCCCTAATTTTCGAAAGCGCTGATTTCTAGCAGGCTGCTCTGCATCTTCTTTGGACCGCCTCGCTGATGGGCCCAGAACTGGTGGCCCAGCCAATGTTTCCTCCTTATCATAGGGACCCTTAGGTGGGTAGGGAACCTTGATGCCCATAGTTAGGACCTAATAAGGCTTATTTTAGGCAAGTAGAGTCTCCTATCTCCCTTACCCCCTTAGGGTCCCTATGACCTTAGGGTATGTGGTTTTGCATTTCCGCTTCAGCTTTTAGGGTTTAGGGTACGGGGGTTGCTTAGACTAGAGAGGCCACAATGTTTAGACTAGAATTTGAAGGTTTCATGCCGTGCATTCCATGCCTGGGCTTGGAAACCCTCAAGCAGACGTATTTCTGAATCGGGTAACGACATTGACATGATCCTGGAATGTTCAAGTTCTGCTTCGCATGGCACCCAATGCAAGCAAGGCCGTGTTGACTGGAAGCACTGCCAGGTTATTATGCCCATTCGATGTCCGCACTCAAATGAACACAGCAAGGGGCAGAATGAATCAGTATCACCGAAGCTAAACCGAAGAAATGAGTTCTTTAGAGTCGAAGACGGTTGTAGGTGCTTTATCCCGCGCATGCAAGCCTAACCCAAAGTTCCCCAACCAAGGATCTGCTCTCCTTCAACTCGGCCCTCAGTGCCTGTGCGGCGAGCTCGGCCTGGCTCGACGCGCTGTGCCACGGCAGCATACATCCCTGGAAGTCCGTGTGCTCATATAGTACATACATTGGCCAGAATGTAGTCCCTGTTTAAGTACTTGCGGGCCCAAGTATATGCTATATGAGCACTTGAAACCTTAGGGCATGTACAGTTTGTTTACTTACTTACTTATATATATATATATATATATATATATATATATATATTCGCGTGTACGCACAGGTACGCATATAGACAGACATGCTGCGTGCGGGCATGCATCAACGCATCTATCATACATATGCATATTGTATATATACATACATATGTATATATATATATATATATGTATGTATATATATATGTATATATACGCAAATGATTTGTGTTCATGTACTTGTACTTAGATGCATAGGTACACAGGTACACACATACATACATATGAACATAGATACATATACACATACAGAAGAGGAGGCTGTGGGGCCTGCGTTTTGGCAACCCACTATTTTCAGTGGTTTTGAATTTTTCGAGTGGTTTTGTATGTTTCGAGTGATTGCACGTGGGGTTCTCTGAACTGTGTACTAGTTTGGTGAGTGTGTACGTGTATGTTGTTGCTTTGGATGGTTTAGAACATCAAGTATGAGTTGTTGTGCAAGTTGTGCAACACGAGGTCTGTTGATAAACACGGGTTTGTTTGTAAACATGTCGTGTCGTCACAATCAAGTGCCTCCTCTTCAGAACTGATGTTGTATATGTTTAGAAACAGCTAGCCTGCCAGACATGTAGATATGTATGTGTTTATAAACACCGGTCTAGGGGGGGAGGGGGGGGGGGGGGGGGGGGGGGGGAGGGGGGGGGGGGGGGGGGGGGGGGGGAGGGGGGGGGGAGGGGGGGGGAGTTTTTTACATGTTCAAGACTTACCCCCCCCCCCCCCTCTTTTCTCCCCCAAAAGCAAAGCCAACGCCGCCCTGCACACTGCTCCCCCCGTCACTAGCAGCACCATCACCGCGCCACGACTCCAACCAACCAGTTTACAAACCTCACCGTACTGCAAGTCTTACACATTGACACACTGATACGTTAACTGGATTTTTGCCACGTACCGGTTCGTGTGGAATAGACCAAGACCCTGTTTGATTGAGAAAACTATGAAACCCCTGGTATTTACCGTGTTTCTGCGTATGGGAAACAGAATGTTATGTGGTTGGTTGTTGATAAACGCCTGGCCTTGTTTATAAACAACAGAGCTGTCCATAAACACAGGGTTCACAATATTGTACACATATGCATATACCTGTCTTCCCGTGTAAACACAAGTGTTGTTGCTACAAGCTCAGAGGTCCAATCTTTGCCACCTTTATAACCTTAGAGGACCAGAAGGATATGAAAGGATTGATTGTATATCAAACCAAAAGAATTTCTGATACAGGTATTTGTGGACATGAAGGCCATGCAAGATCATGCAAAGGCCTGGACCACGACGGTTCGTACAGCTTTATCATTTCCTAGGCGAAGCTTCAGCGCGAGCGGCCCCATAAAACCAACTGTCCGGCTTCAGAATTCATATTGATCCAGATGCTCGCTATTTTGGATTGTAGACTGTGGGTAACCAAAGCGATAGTACCTACAGCAGCCAGCAGGACATGAACAAGCGCAAACAGGATTTGAGTCATCTTCGACAAGTAGCAGACTGACTTGTTAGCCACAGGCAGCTTTTCATTATTCCTTGGTTCCTTGAAAGTCACACACGCTAATACATAAGTTGAACTGACACGAACATACACGAACTTGTTGACATGCCATAACATACTTAAAGCACTGACCTAAACACTTATTTCGAATCCTGTGCACTTTTCCAAATGAGTACGCTAATTATAATTCAATACCTACAGGTTCTCCAACAACCGAACACTGCATGCCAAAGCAGATGATGCAATGGTTTTGGTGTTGGGTGGATTGGCTTGATAGAATGAAGAGTCTTGCAGGGATGAGATAAAGGCTCCGTGTCGCACGTGTCGAGTCTATGTGGCCTGCCCCAAGACTTGGTTTGATAAAGTGCAGAATACACGGTATTTACGGTGTTTTCTGCCTGTGATAGTTGTTGTGGGAAGAACTTTGAATACGTAGCCACTCAATGCCTACATGTCGTACCCGTTGACGTCTGATTATACACAGGCTAAGCCTGACCCTGAATACATTACTCAGGAAAAGAAGTGTACGGGACTTTGTGGTGTAATGCTGCGTGTACCTTTCAAGTGCTTGAAGTTGTTTGAATGTAAATATGATACAAAAAGTGGTCTGCAAACACCCAGGCCCCACAGCAACCTGCTCTCTACACATAGGGGGATACCTAGCCACATAGATACCGAGATACACACGTGCATTTGTACAGGTATACATCTACACATGTACACATTTTGCATACATGCATACATACATACATGCATACATACATACGTACATACATGCGTACATACGTGCATACATAGCCATATACATTCATATACAGACACATGCACATATAAATCGATATACAAACGCATGCCAAAGCCCTGACTCTAAACCTTCCTGTAAGCTCAGGAAGCCCTCACCTAAACCCTAGGCCCGATTAACAAACATTAAAACAAAAACCTTAACCACTACTTCCTGTATAAGCCTCAGGAATCTCTTCGAGGTAGTCCAAGCCGCTGATCTCCGGGCAGATGCCATCACCTACAGCGTGCCTCGGTCGAGTAGTAGTAGTAGTAGTAGTAGAAGAAGAAGTAGTAGTAGCAGTAGTAGTAGTAGTAGTAGTAAGCAGCAGTAGTAGTAGTGGTGGTGGTGGTGGTGGTGGTAGTAGTGTCATTCACTGTCTTACCCATAGGCCCCATAATAGTTCTTTTTTGAGGTTTCATATATTAGAATCCTATGAGGTTATCTCCCAAAAAGGAGCTACTATGGGGCCTGTGGGTAGGGTGGTTTAGGGTTTAGAGATTAGGATTTGGGCTTTGGGGTTTGGGAAGTTAACCTTAGGCTGTGATTCACAGGCCCATGTTTATTAGTTTGGAGTTGGTTTCCCCATCTCATAATCTTCCGGTTTCGGATAATGCGAACGGACTGCGATGCCTTGTCAAGTTCTAAGGTGTCACTATAAGAGCTGTGAGCAAGACCGTGTAGAGTGCAAGAGAAGGGGGCACGCTACGCGTCCCTCGACTCTAGGAGTAAGCTTGTGGACGTGCTACGCACACCGCATCGCTTCTCCTTACCTTTCTATGTGACCGCCCACGCAACGTTTGGCTCAAGTCAATGCCCATAGCTAAGTGCTATATGTGTCTTCTATCCTGAGCAATCAGAGCTATCCCGTGCACAGACGAACCGCCGCCGGCAGCGAGTGCAAAAGGAACGGCCGCCGGTTCTGCCTGCATAGGATTGCACGTGTGGAAGTGTGAGAGAGACAGGGTCCCAGTCTGTGGAGAGTGCAAGCCAGCCACACCTATATTCATTACAGCTCTGGTGGGGAGAGCAGCAACATAATCGAGATCAAATCCCCACGCAGGTTATCAGCCGTACGCGGCTCTGCCTTTCTGCAGCAACGACTACTTGATCTACTACGACCACAATGAACTCGGGATCAAGCCAAGATACGACAATGACTTTCGGTGCCGATGTGGCAGCGCCAGCCGTTGGTGAGTCAACAGCTGATGACACAGTGGTGCAATCCGTTGATAGCTCCACGGAAGATGACAAAGGTCAATCTTCTGCGCTTGCCATTGCAAAGGCAGTTCCCAAGGTGAAAGCAAAGAGTCTACCAAGAGCATCTACGCCTTCGCGTCCGACATCCACAGGTTCGAGGACGGGCAAGGCTCCAGAACGACGAGCCGAAGCGTCTGGTTTTCAGGCACCTCGGACTACGTCCAGGGCCAAGGACAAGGGAGTGAAGACCTTGGAAAAGAAGTCGAGACCATCATCTTCGAGAAGCTCTTCAGCACGATCAAGGACTTCGGCTACTCGTGGGCGTGACAAGTCCATGACATGGAATCGGATGGTTACCAATCAACCACGCGATGCTGACGATCTGGATATGACTCTGGACACTATTCCTGCACGTGGTGATGCGTCATCGGTGACCACGCCAGCCATAGCCGATGGTCCGAATGCCTATCAGGAACTGACGATTTCGCAACAGTTCGAAGCATCGAACCTTGCGCAGCAGATGTACTATCGCAGTCAGATGCAAGAGTACGAGGGAGTTGTCCAGACCCTGATGGATAAGATCAAGGAGATGCAACAAGAAGATGAAGGATCTGGGATTCGCATCGAAGAATTGGAACGACAACGTGACCATGCATGCTTAGCCATGAGGCACATCAACAATGTCAATCAGGAGATGAAGCGAGACTATGAAGCAGCTTTGTTTCGCATGGATGAACAGAACTCTGCTCAACAACGTCAAGCACACGCCGTTGCCGAGGAGCTGGCTCAGCAGCTACACGTGTTTCGCACGGAAGCAGCCACTAACTTTGTGCAGTTGGAGGCAAGAGCGCAAGGCGATGGTGAGCTTATGGCACGTGAGTATGAGCATCTGACTCATGAACTTCATGAACAAGCCAGAGAGAACTTGTTCCTCCGGTCGAACACAGCAAGTTCGGAACAAGCCTTACAAGCAATGCAGGAACGATTCCACTTGGTCAAGAATCAGGAGTTGCGGGCCGTGAACGAGATCCAAGGGCTAGCTGGGAACAGCGCAGCCATTGATCAAGAACGACTTCGGCTTCGCGAACGTCTTGGTGAAGAGGAAGAGTACCGCAAAATGGCTGTGAGGAGGATGCAAGATGCAGAGGACCGACTTCATCAGAATGAAGATCATGCAAGGCGCGCATTGCCTACCTTGCACGATGAGCTGAGTGAACTCAGGAAAACACTCAAAGCACAAGAAGATCTTCAAGCGAGGACACGCAGCGAATTGGAGGCAGCACGGAACTCCAACTACCATGGCGGAGTGACACGGCCTTCGAGCATGCCCATGTCTTCGAGGACTACTGAGTCTGGCTGGGAGCACGTAGGAAAGGAAGTAGTGCCTGCATTTTCCGTAGGAGGTGAGGTACGATCCCCTGAAATACGGTCCCCAAGTCAAGTTAGTCCAGTCGCCAAAGAGAAGTTCGCATTCTCGGAATCGGACAAGGACAAGAACCTTGCGATGGATGGAATTCCATTTACCGGTGGAAACTTCTTCACTGGCCGCATTAAAGGTGAGGTGAATAAATCCTATTCAACGCCAATCGTGGCGGATGCAATGCCCGAGCACTACGTGCCAGGTATTAGCAGCCCAGCACATGCGCGTTCCACGCCTAGTGCAGCCACTCTGTTTGGCATACCAAGCGGATTTCATGGGCAAAGTGATGCGGCAGCCGTGCGTGATCGACAGCTACGTGAACTCTTGGAGGATCGCGGGATGTTGGGATCGAAGTCCACAGCATCTGCCAGCTCCTCAAGACCTGTTGGTATCGACGGCATTATCGCATCTACAAAGGGCAACGACCTCATTGGTGCCCCTGTCGCCTATGACGATTCCATCCATGAGGCAAGGAGGCGTCAGATCGAGAAAGAGGTCGCGGAACGGTACGAAGAGAAGATTGCCGATCTGCGAAGCGAAGTACTCAAGGCCCAGAAAGCCGAACAGCGTCTCAGAGCTGATCGTGATGAGTGGAGATTATTTGCTGAAACGATTCAGGAAGACAATGGAGACGATGACGGTGATGAAGCTGGCGACGAGAACGGAGAGGGAGAGCATGATGAAGGAACCGGTACGGGGTATGATCCTCCAGATCCGCCTGATGATGACGATGATGATAAGAAGAGAAGCGGTGGAGGCAAACCTGACCCGGATCCTGACCCTCATGCGCGTGATCCTGATGGAGACGCAGATCCTGAAGTCACAGAGGTGAGAATTTCCAGGAGGGAAGCCGATAAAGTGACCGTTCCTCCATGGCCTACTCTCACTCACCTCAACAACTGGCGATCCGTATGCACGGCGAATGTCTTAGGAGCATCAGCCGACCCAAATCATGAGGACTGGATGTTATGGCTGGCACCAGCGTTCAATCCATTCCCTGATGTCGAAGCACTGAACGATTCGGGACACAAGAAGTTCAAGAGCGTAGACGTCAAATTGGGGATCGCCATGGTCGCAATGCTACGCGCTGGTGGTGACAAATCTGCTGATCTGTACCTGGAGGTGAACCGGAAGGCCAACGATTACATCAGCAGGCCCGAAGGGAAGATCATCAAAGGACGACAAATCATTGCGATGATGTATGAAAGTTTTCGAACGCACGATCGTCTCGACATGATCATCACTCTCGAGTATCTGGTGAAGCTCCAGTACCAAGGCGACAACAAACTTCATACGTTCAAGCAGACGTGGTTGGAAGTTCTGGGACGGATGAGGCCAGAAGACATACCATCCAAAACAGCTCTCCGTGATTGCTTGTACAGCAAGATCAAGGACTCGCCCGCAATGAAGATGGAGTTGGGCATGCACTACGAACACTTGCCCTACAATCATGAAGACCGATCGTACGACAATCTGATGAAGATCATCGACCGTACCATCATGCGGAGACGAGAACAATCAAATCTCACTCAGACCCAAATTGGCTTGCGCCAGATGCTTGAGGGCAAGGATTTGCTTGCTGCACCGGCCAAGGTACCTGAGAAACCAACGCCTAACGCAGCTCCATCCGCAAAGGTCAAGGCTTCGCCGACCAAGCCGGATAAAGCAACACCTGTACTACCTCAAAGCAAAGCGAAGAGTCATGCGAAGACCAAGCCAAAGCCCAAGAAGAAGACGAGGAGTGAGTCAGCGGACAACAGAGGCGACAAGAGCAAGAAGCAAATCCGCTGCAAGTTCCATTTCACAGATGCAGGGTGTCGAAATGGTGACAAGTGCCCATTCAGTCACTCGAAGAAGACTCCAGAGCGACCCTTTACGCCGAGGACGAGAACTCCAAGTCCGTCTGGAGGAGGAGGAAATAGGATATGCTACTCTTTCAAGAACACAGGCTCGTGCTCAAGAGAGAATTGTCCTTTCAAGCATGAGGCAGCAGCTACCCCAGCTCCGGAACCAAAGGCAAAAGCTAAAGCCAAATCCGAAGCAAAGGCAGCTCCAGCGAAGCCGAATGCCAAGGCCAAGGCACTCCCTGCGGCACCCGCCATCAGATTGTGCCGAAGGTGGAATCCATCAGCCCCGGCTATATGGAAGCGATCTTCAAGACAAGATGAGGAGGAGTCAGATTGTCCATCCGTTGACAGCGACGCTGATTCGGATTGTTCAACAGACGACGAATCCTCGGGACCGACTACGTCGACCCGAAAAGAGATCAAGCGTAATGTGACATTCACCGATGACGTGAAGTTCATTTCTTCGTGTCCTAGAAGATCGAAGAAGGACAAGGAGCGGAAGGTGAAGTACGTCGACATGGAAGCGCTTGTCAACAATGAGGATCGCGCCGTGAATTTGGAATTCGCCAAGCACAAAGCGAGATTGAGGGCACAGATCATGAGAGACATGGTTGACGACGATGATGATCAATGCGGAGATCGAGTTTCATTCGTACGAATCCCAGGAACGTCTCGGGTGGAAGAAGTTTCCTTCTACGACGGTGAGGATTCCATCGTTGAGCGTGAACTCGATGCTGCGCACAGCAAACGGATCATCAATCAAGGTGTATTCAAATGCAT